CATGGGAGCAAGTGTTACAGGGGCATGGGAACAGAGTAATTCACACGTTTTTGGCGCTTTAACGCGACTTCTATGAAATGGTGCCTTCATTTACTTTTTTATGAATTGGTTTGTGTTCACTCATGAGGATCCACTCTGAGGTGTTGGTATGAATGAAGACCAAGAGGGAGACGTGCAGGTTTTGCGTTTCTGCCCAGCCATGACGATCAGTCATGTTGTAAAGGCCATCCGGTTAAGAAACTTCGTTTTGTTTCCTGTGCTAAACTCTTTCTTCAGCGATTATGTTTGGAACCAGTCTCGGTAAAACCCAGTGAACACACCACCCAAAGGCCACATCTGAAAACGTGCAGTTGTTAGGAGATACAGTGGTTCTACGGTGAAAAAACTCAGTAGACGATATGAAACGTCATAGAAGAGAATAGAAGGAAGGTTACAGAAGGCAAAAAATATAGTATTTTGCCATCTGGACAAAATATTTGTCGTGCCAGGATGATAAATGATGGTGACGCTCAAGTGGCGAGTTTTTGGTTTATCTCGAAGTATCGAGTGACAATAACAAAATTATGTGCAGGGGTCCCTGACATTTTTTGTAGACATCAACATCCAAGTTTGTCCCATATAAAACGGTTTGGAACGACGATCCTCCCTGCAAGCTTTGCTCCCGGTGTGACTGCGTTCATGTGTTGGTCTCGAAAGGTAGATCGCCCGTCTGAGGTGCCATTCACTTTCAATGTTCACTGGCTCATTCAACCTTCAGGTCCAAATGTGTTCTCGTTGGAGAGTGAATATAAGCTGAATATCTCCAACTAATGCTGTGACACGGATGGGATCAGACTAACTTCATACAGTAGCTTGCACAGTGTCCACATCTGTATTGTTCACATCATTACAGTACAGCTGAATCAAAAGGGTAAAGCAGTCTTTGTTCATCAGCCCTTATCTCGGATGTGCCACACATTCCATTTCTATTCAGGATTGCAGCGGCATCTGAATGCGATAAGAGCTCCAAAATATAATAAATTACTGGAGATATCCGATGGCCACTTTGGTGTTTTGAACCTCCCAGACCTGGCCTGGTACCAAGTAGCGGTGAGATGAAATGAATGGTGTGATGAAATGGTTGGCATGGACGATTCTGATTGCCGGCTATGTAGGTATGACGGTTTGCCACTTATTCGGCCTCCGCCCATCAGTGCTAACTAAATCATTATAACGGCACCCATTAGATTTGTGAGAATTCACTGTACACGTACTAACCTATTTTGAAGATCACCCGTAATTGTATTTGGCTATGGTGCTAGCCTTCCTAGCTGAAACTTTATGTATAGGGATTCGAGGGCCAAATAAGATTAAGATTTAAATAAACGTATCTACTCCAACACGGAAAGGAATTGTTCATGAGAATATCGAATAATGAATGTGTCAGTTGTGATCACTAGAGGCAACGGCCAAGGTGTCACGCAAGAAGAAACAGTTTCCGAAGAGAAACAAACCTACGGAAACCACACTTGGGGACGGTAGCAGGTAAGTCGGGCTGAGACAAGGAAACGTATGGAATGTGTATGCGGGCGCCCACCTATACAAGGTACTCAACGAATCGGATTGAACAAAAACCCGAAGATGGATCCACACTTTTGTTACTGATGGAGTGAAAAGGTGCGTGAGCCCTATTCGAGAACATATCAAATCGGTGAAGGAAAACCGAACATTGGAAAAGCGCTATAAGGAGTGAGATGCTAATTTTGGCCCGTCCGCCAGTT